TGCTGGTGAGTCCACTGTTGTGTGGGATGCGAGCTATGTGATTGACATGTGGTCCCCAGACAGAGGAATGGCGCGATGAGCTGAACTGCGTTCCCATGGCCAAGAAGTTCCCCCACCTCGCTGCTATCTGCTTCGACTGGCAGTGGTGGGATGCGCCGGTGGAGGGCGCGTGGAAGGACGGTCTCGACTTCAAGACGTTCGCAACCAGCTGGCGCAACCGCAAGCCCAAGTGGTGGGGAAAGAGGTGGTCTGCCGTGGACCAGGAGGCTGCCATGAGGCCGTTTGCGGACATCTGGCTCAGTAAGTGTCTCGTTTTCTGCGTGCGCGCATCTGAATCTGACTGCGCTGACCCCATCTCAGGCAATGACCGGCTCAATGGTAGATGTCTACGTAGTTACCGTAACTCATCTGACGAGCCGCGTACCTATACAGCTGAAACGCCGGTCCAAGACCACGAAGATGAGGACGATCCGCGCACCGAAGGATACGAGGTGAACGAGGCGCGCGTGAGCAGTGAGGACTGCAGGAAGGCGTTGCGGCAGGCGGAGATATACCTCGCCTGGAAGGCGAAGGGCCGTGCGCCCGCAGCGATGGCCCACCCAGTCCCTCTACGCTCGTGGGCTCGTCCCCCCAATGTTCCGGCATCGTCACAGGATACGGTGGTGAGTACGGTTCTATACTTCTCACTGATGATGATCCAATGCGTGCACCACAGCACTACGGCAGTGACCGATGCCAGCGCTGCATCGAGCACGGCATGGAGGAATGCCGTGTTCCGGCGATTGCAAATGACCCGCGCTGTGTGACTTGTCGTGCGCGCAAGAAGGGTTGCCCCTTCGGAGTGAGTACGCACGATGTCTTTGTATTTGTACGGTGCACTTATCATTCACAGTCTCGCGTTGCACCCAGTGGCTCGCGCGGCACCCCAAGTGTAACGGCAGTGCGCGCACCCTCCACCCGTGCGCGCACTCGCACTCTGACCAATGATGGAGGCCCAAGGGCAGGTGCGTGTATCTTTGTTGACTGTATGACGATCCTAATGGGTTGTAGGTATGAAGCGCCGCCGCGGTGAATAAGTTAGGGACATCGCGTAGGTATTGCAGATGCATGACAGTGTACCATTAATTTGCAGTTGTATATATACATGTATTATGATCACCATACATATTTACTTGCTCTCATCAATGGTGGACGCGCGCAATCGCGCACGCTCACCCTACAGCAGCGTGCTCGTCACTCAGTCCCTCCCACATGTGCGTCTACCCTCGTGTCAGGCGGACGCGCGCGATCACACGCGATCATCCTCCGGTCATGGTTTGACATGGGCATACATAGTGCGCGCACCCCTCAAGAGACACAGTTTATGCGAACCTGCGCGATCGCGCGCGTCCACATAAAACGATGTGTTTCGGATGATATTTGGGTGCGCGCACCCCATAGGCACCTTCAAATGGTGCGCGCAACCCATGTAGCCCTCAAAACCCCACAATTTCGTTGGACGTGCGCGATCGCGCGTGTCCACATATTTAGCATGTAAATGTGGCCCCGTAGACCCCCCTTTGAAACCAGAAAAATAGCAGTATACGGTGTACACGCGCGATCGCGCGCGTCCACCGAAATCCTGTGTGCATGTCTCATACAATCGATGTCGCCGTACGCATTTGCGAGCGTTGCCTGTCACGATCTGTATGTGTCCTCACGGGAGACACATACTGTGCTCTCAGGTGGACGCGCGCGATCACGCACGTCCACCTTACAGTCGTCCCAAATATACCGATTTAAGTGGGCGCGCGGTAGCACCCGTCCACCTCAACACTACAATTCACGGTGTACTAATCTTCCACAACACAGTCTCGGAGTGGACGCGCGTCCACCTAAATTGCACACATTCCACGTTGGTTTTCCATTAAAGATGCGAGTATACCTTCAGCGATACATGTCGAGACCACTAGATACGACAACACCTAGACGTAACATAGGAACACACTACTGTACCGTACCCAGCCCGAGAGACCGTGTATATTCTTATGCAGATAATGAACGACCTACCTATGGGTGCGTGAACCAGACCCGGCTTTTGAGGCGCATTGCGTCCCACTGCTCACTGACGTTGGGGTGTTGCCCATCGTCAACGCCCGTGGCGCCTCATCGACGCTGGTGTTTTACCACAGTCCACGTCGTCGCGCCCGGTGTTGAACCTGGTGTTGCCGTCGCCGTTGTCGGGCGACATGGCACTGGTGCGCGCCTTGGCGATGTCGGGCTCGGGAGCGCTCTTGCTGACGTCGGGGGTTTCTGCTACGTGCACGCCGAGCTCCATGAGCAGCAGCTGCACAGAGGGAGAAGCATCATCAGCGGGAAGCACGTACAGCAAAGCATGGAAACGATTTACTTTGTCCATCGCAGTTTTGATCTCTTGCGTCGCGCTCTTCGTCTGCTGTTCGAGCCTCGCAGCGTGCTCTGCGAAGGTGCGCTTCATGTCCTCCATGCACTGGGTGATTGTGCGTTGGGCGGCCTCACATCCTTCAGCGAGCTCCCGCCGCCGCCGTTCGACGTCACGATTCAGGAGATCGATGCCGACGACAAGGTTGTTCAGCTGAAGACGGGCGTCGTCAGCATGCACCTGTGGCCGCTCGGCAACGTTCTTGTGGGCCGGGTCGTTGCAGCCAACGACACCTGAGTTGCCCGTGGTAGGTGGGGGGCGCGCACCCTCACCGTCGCTGCCTCGCGCTGATTCGGCCCGCGCGCGCACCCGACGTGAAGGGCCACCCTGTAAACAGAAATATAGTCAGTGCATGCATCAACATGCGCACTGCAACGTACCTCGGGTGGCGGCGACTCAGCCCGCCTTTTCCCTGCAAACACGGAGTGGGGCACTTCAGGTACATCTCCGCCCTCGGTGTTGGTCAGTGCGGTCATCACGCCCGACGTCTCCATCGGCGTGTCGGCGCGAGCCTGAGGGCTTGCAGGGACATTGCAGTCCTTTGCAGCCGTTGGTGCAGTCGTTCCACCCGCCGTCTTTGTCAGGTCGTCGGCACGAGGGCTTACAGGGACGTTGAGGTTGTCGACGTTCATTGCCGTGGTCGTGGTACCCGACATCTCCGCTGCCGTGTCGGTACGAGGGCCTTCTGGGACGTCGTCGTCCTCGATCACAATGGGCGCTGTCGCGATCCCAGTCGGCGCATCTGCGCGAGGTGCTTCGGGCACCTTGTCGTCGTCGATCACAATCGGCGCCATCTTCTTCCTCACAATCCTCAGCCGCGGGTCACTTTCGGCGCACGGCGTTGCGACCTTGTTCTCGTCCAGTTTGACGCGGCCGTCCAACACGATTTCCTGCACACTAGTCAAGAATATATGTGTACACAGCGATGGACGGACTCACCGCAAGACTGCACCTCCCACGATGAGCTTCGGCGCAGCGGTCGCACCGTTCGCGCTTTCCAGTCAGGATGCACTCCGTCGGCGGTGCGTTGGGGTTGATTTTCCGCATTCTGGTGTCAAGATCCCTGCAGTTCTGGCACCGGTGATCTCCAACAAACTGAAGCAACCGGTGAGCACATGGATGTACACCAGCACGGACGGGTGCGCGCGCGCAAGGATGGGTGCGCGCACCATACACAAGTCGAAGTAAGTGCTCACCTTGTAGCGAAACTCGGCAATGCGAGGCCGCTTCGCCCTCTGCCCCCCCTTCCCCTTCGCCTGTGCCTTCAGCTGTGCCTTCGCTTGGCCCTTGCCCTTGGGCTTCCCCTTCGTCTCTGCATTCCGGGCACCTCCACGCGCTTTGCCTTTCGACGTGGTTGGCGGCGTGAATTCTCCCTCCTCCGCGTCATACTGCAGTTCGTCCGCCTCCACTTCCTCCTCCCCCGAGTCGTTGGTCTCCTCGTATTCGTCTGACGAGGTCGCCTTGCGCTGGCGCTGCGTGCTCTTGATGCGTGACGACTTCGGTGTACGCACGACCTTGCCGCGAGTGGTTCTGCTGTTTCCGCGGCGCGTCTCGACACCGCTGTCGTCTTCCTCCGTGGACGCAGTGTTGCTGCTCCCTCGGGATTGCAACGTCGACGTCGAGGCTGCCGCCCGTTTGACTCCTCTAGGAGGGCCGATCTTGAGAACGGTGGTCGGGATGACGCTGGGCTTGTGCACCTTACGCGACATGCGTCTGGGTGGAGAGAATTCGTCGTCGTCATCGTCGTCATCGTCGTCATCGTCGTCGTCGTCGTCGTCGTCGTCGTCGTCGTCATCATCGTCGTCGTCGTCCTCATCATCCTCGGCATCGGACTCGTCGTGCAGCGGTGGAGGAGACTGCGGCGGGGGTGTCGGCGGGGTCGTGACGACCTCATTTTCAGAGGCGGGAGTGGGGCTGCGCACCGCTGGGGTTCCGGGGGTCGCCCCCAATGATGATCCAGTGGGGGACCGACGACCGGCCTTATGGAACCGCTCGGGGAAAGGTAGGTGTGCCCTGCGCGCACTCCGTCTGAACGTACCTCTCCCGGCGCTTCGGTACTTGCAGACGTGCTTTGTCGCTCGCCTGGCACCAGGGTCACGTCAGACTCTGATATTCCCGTGTCCTCCTCTTCATCTTCATCCTCGTCATCGTCTTCGTCTGTGTCTTCTTTTTCCTTGTCATCATCTTCTCCTTCTATGCGCATGATCGCTGTATGTACTTCAGCCAACGCACCCCAAGCATTCAAACCAGACTTACCTCCGAGTCTATCATTTACTGCGTGAATACACATGCATAAGCACCTCGCGCCTGCAGAAGATGTGAGACACGGTCACTTACTTTTCAAACACCTCTTGAATCTCCGAAGGACCACCTCGTCGTCTTCGACCTTTTTCGTGCGTATGCGGTACGAGACGTACACCTGCGACTCCTTGATCACTTCCGGCAGGTTAATTGGACCCTCTCTAGAAGCACACTGCAGCGCCAACACAACGAGCTGGCGCGACTTGGTTACCTGGCCGGACGCATCAAGCGAGTTCGCCCAGTCAGGTGTCTGCAGTTCGACGAAGTGATCACCAGCGACATAAGAGTCAGCGCGGGCGTGAAGACAACGGAAACAGAGACGTACCACGATGTGTTCCACCCATATTCGCCCAATGGCGTCCAACGTCCACGGCCCATGGTATACCTCCGCCAAAATCGCCTCCAGCTCCTTCACCATGCTCTTCGACCAGTCGTCCGGGTCCTCGGGCGGCGGGTCCGTGAACAGAGACGGGGGTGTCATTTGTGGAGACACACCAGAGAAGCCGAGGCGCTTGAGAAACATGTCGTACGATAGTGTTCCGACCATGGTTGGGTTTGATATTGCGAGAGGAATTGAGAAGGAGATATGAATGGGTAAGTGAGATGAGAGAGACGGAGAGCGTGCAAGACGGAAGTGCGCGCAGCCAATGTGGCTTTCACGGTCCGCAGACGCCGTCGATCGAAACTGATCCCACGGTTAATCATAGGCGCCCATAGCCACATCTCAGATGGCTGGTGGCTGAGATCATCGTCGATCAGGCCCGATTGATGGATAGGAGATTGTTCCGATCTCTCCAGACTTTGCCAGCGTTCTGTCCCCCCGTGTGCGCGCACGTCTCTCAAGTGCGCGCACTCCCTCCGTCCTTTCACTTAAGACATTTTCTGACCGGTAGTGTTACGCCATCCTGCGGGCGATGCTGTACGCATTATTGACCGGTACAGCAACGTGTACGGTATGCTTTTGGGTACGTGCTTTCCATGTTATTGTTATTATTATTGTTGTTGTTGTTGTTGTTGTTGTACTGACTATCAAACTTGTTCTGTACTGAGCACAATTCGTGGGCACATCAGGGCCTCAGATGGGTGGATGTCTGCGAGCGTACCTGTCCACTCATTTAACTGTGCATCAGCAGATTTTACGCTTGGACCATCTCACATGAACGGGATGTATGTACACGTTGACCTATGCATCCCGGTTTAGGGCGTATAAGGTGGATGCGCGCAGTCACGCGCATCCACCTTAAACAGCGTATTTCCTTCGATGTTTGGTGCGTAATCCGAGCACACTACCCGCGCTCATGTGGTGTCTGAACTGTTCTATTACAGGCCAGAAAAGGTGGACGCGCGCGATCGCACGCGTCCACCTTATACGCTGTTCTTTTCGTCGCCACATGTTGAGTATTTTGAGCCCACTACCCGCGCGCATCCTGTGTCCATCTCCTCCTGTTCTGGGGGCAAATAACGTAGATGCGCGCGATCACGCACGTCCACCTTCCAGACCTGTGTTTTCCTGTATTTGGGGTGGTCTGCAGACCATACACACCATGAGTTGGTGCCCCGTGCGCGTGACACACAATTTGTATAGTCCTCCCACTAAACGCGTCTTGTCAACCCGTCTTTCATCATGCCGACAAGCGTACATGCTCTCTGGGGGTACGCACACCCGTCCAGTGACCAATGGTAAGCACACCCGTACCAAACCGCATACAACAGGCTCCCATTACATCTGAGAGCATAGCGCGTCACGTTGTATATAGTGCGCATCCATCCCATCCCATGACAACAAGCGGTTGTCATGTGATGAGGGGCTGCGCGTGTTGTACGTCCGTTTTATCCGATCTCTTCTCCTTATCTCTCACCGTCACTCACCGCATTTTAGGGCTTCAACAACTGTAGGTCAGTGCTCTCAGCTCTGTGCCAATCCGCACGACGAGCTAATTGCTGGCCATTTTGTGTGCAGCCGGACGATCACCGCGATGCAGTACTCAGTGTTCTCCAATCGCGGTCGCGTGCGCGAGGAGGCGGGGGCGTACTACTACATACTCCTGCCCAAGATGATCGATTGGTCGGCGCGCCTGGTGGAGAACCCGGGCGACTTCTACGTCCGCGGGCGACACACTGTGGGCGACCTGATGGTGACACTACGTGTGCTGAGCTTCCCTCCGAAGGGAGAGACTGCCCGGACTCGGCCCTGGGAGGTTCTTCCCATGCAAACCTTGGCCGACTTGGCGGAGTACGTGGACACGCTCGAGTCCGTTCAGGTCGCCGTGGCGAATGTCATGACCAACGTCCACTGCGGCTCAGTGAACGTATCACTGGAGCAGGCCAACTGGATTATGAGGCTTCTTGTCCCTGTCGCTCGGGAGATCGGGTGGAAGATGGATGGCTATAGCAGTGCGTATTTCTCGTGTATTCTCTCTGACTCGTTGTGTTCACTCCGCCGGCACGCAGCCCATGCCAGGAAGACCGCAGGTAAGTGCTGCTTCTTAGGGTGCGCGCATGGTCGGCTGGCTCACAACATACGTACGGCGTGATGACCCAGTGGGAAAGCTCAGCGCCGACGAGTGGAGGACCCCATACCTTCCTGCGATACTTTACATGTATACGGCTTTCCTGCGCGATGAGGTCCGAACGGTGGAAGACGTCCGTGCGGAATCCAGGACGTACTTTGCTTACAGGACAGGGCTCTTCGTCCGGGATAACATGCCGTTCTGGCCGGGTGGGTATACCGTCCCCATCATTCCGGAACACGAACTGTTCGACCCGCACCGGGTGCAGACCGAATTCTGGCTTGCAATGCGGGCACACATCTATGTGCTCCGCACCCGCAGCGACATGTTCATTGACGGCGTGCCCAACGCGCGTCTTCAGCGTCACTGGCTCCTGGGTTTGGAGGTCACTCAGGAGCGCATCGATGGTACGTGTCAATCTCTCAGGAGCCTGCTGTCACGCGTACCTAATATTTAATTCTCAGCCCACGTCTTGGATCACGACCTTTCCAAGGAAGCCCCGGGATTGCTTGCTATTTCGCTGGCGTTCATCAAGCTCGCGCATGTGCAAGGCGTGGTGGACGTGCTGATGTCGTCGACGACGGAACTCGTGTTCTGGGAGTACCAGGCGCACAGTCCATACCCCGGTGTTCCGTGCCTTCCTGTTGGGATTATCGAGGGCTCGCCGGGACATGCGACCTGGTCCGCCCGTCAGGCGAAGCATTGCCACCGCGTGCTGGCGCACATGTTGGCCCGGATGGCAATCTTCGAGTCTGTGCGGTTTGCTGATGCGGGCTTGAACGCACAGTTGACGGAGCATCTGCATTTCTGCCACCAGCGTCTGGGCTGGTTAGCGGCTCAGCTCGAGGGGTATTCCGCTCCGGTCTAAGTAGTCGTTTTGTACTGTATACTTAATGTGATTGCCGTAGTGCGCACCTTCAGCCGCGCGCACCCCTGTCCCCGTGCGCGCACCTTCAGCCACGCGCACCCCTGTCCCTGTGCGCGCACCCTCTCACAGCGTGCGCAATCTGCGTACAGATTGACTCAGGGGTATGACCCGATGCACACTCACTTCCTACCACCCAGCGACGACTGCAGCGTGCAATAGAGCACACCACGTGACAGTCACGTGACCTGCAGCTAGGGTGCGCGCACTGCGTGGAAGATGGGGTGCGCGCACATAGCTTCCTGCTGTTGTGTTCTCCTACTGACTTGTTCCTGACAGGCCAGCCATGGATCCCTGCGCGTCCATCTTGTGTTGTGCCCTCACTGGACCAACTGTAAGGTAAATGCGACTTCAATTGGCACTGTCCATGCCTCACGTGCACTCATCGTCTCTGCTCAGTTTCAAGTGCACGACCACCTGCGCTCCGTTGTCTCATACTGTTTGTTCTGTCGTGCGCGGGGCCTTACTCAGTGAATTCCTTTTGCTGTACAGTGTACTTTACATCTCCCAGTAGTGCTTACATCTCCTGGTAGTTGACTGACTTGTTCCAGAATTCATCTGTGCAAGCACAAGTGGCCTGGAGGCGATGTGCGACAGCATGCATGGGTGGTTGCAAAGTCCAGTTCTGTTTCCAAAAAGGCTCAATATATCCCCGATATCGTGCTCTGTGCGACAAGCTAACCCAGTCACTGCAAGCTCTGTTGCTCTGGACTGAGTCTGTCTTTTTTGGAGTGCACACGACTGCACACTGCTGCTGGGAAGCAGACTTGGTAGAAACAAGCGTGAACAGTACAGCCGTGAAGGAGAGTTTTGCTGAACGTGACAGCCAAGCCTCAATGCAAGTACAAGCACTGTGGAGAACTGTCTTGTTCTGCTCTTTTCTGTGCACTTGTTCTTGAGTTGTCCTGAATCGTTGTGTCCTGAAATCCACAGCTTCTTGGTTCTCACTCTTGTGCTGTGAGCTGTGAGTTGACAGTGCAGTTGTCTGTGTGGCTGTTTTTGAAGTTGGGGCTGTGTACGTGAGTTCCAAGACAAGGGTGGTAGTGAGTAGTGGGTGTGCTAGAGCTCAGTTGCTGTGTGCTGTGTTCCGCGTGAGTGGGCAGTGTTCCAGTGTGAGTAGAGAGTTTGAAACAGTGAGTTGGACAAGTGTGCGGAGAAGACTGTGAGACGTTGGTTACGAGTACAGGAGAGCTGACCTGAGAAAACACAAGTCACTGTTGGCAGTCCAGCGACCTGTGCAAAACACAAGGAGAGTTCGCAGGACAGACACTGCTTGCTGTGTGCGTGGTGGGTGGAGAGTTCGTTGGCTCGCAGGGCTCGCAGACTCACTCTCCACGCC